AGCATTGCCTGAAATCACAAAAACAAAAAAAAGATGAGCTAAGCATAAAAACGGTCAGAAACCAACGTCAATAAACATCAAAACAATACACAGGTACCATCTCAGCACTGGTTATGTTCTTGGCCTCGAAACTGAAAAACAGAGAAAAAAAAAACTAATCTTATTCTTAGCATAACACTGTGGATGTTACCAAAACAGATCAAGCCATTGATGTATATACCATTTATTATTTGTATAGGGAAACAAATGAGGCTGCAGCTCCCTTGCCAGTTTCAAGTAAGCATCAACATTCTTCTACAAGCAAGCAAGGCAACAGAGAGGAGGATCAAAGCAGTTTCAAAGAAAACCAAACACAGTTGACAAAAGAAAAGGTTGTAGCTTTCGATACCGCTACTTCGCCTTCTAGAAACTTAACGTCGGCTTCAATCATCCAAAGTCGAATCCGAGAAGGAAACTTGAAACACATGTAGATCTTGCCCTTGGCAAAAATAGCTTCCTTCCTCTCACGGACTAGCTTCTTGATAGCCTGTAAAAGAAGGATTCTCGGCTTCAGAATCGCACCAAAATTCTGTAATAACGGCCTCTTTATCCCCGTAATCCACATCCCCTGCAAGAAAGAAAAGAAAAATCATGCCTTTTCAGATAATTCAACTTTTTTCTCGTGACTTACTACTGGGCGACTTCTAGAATCGATCCGCTTCTTCGAACGCATCGCATCGTCCAGTGATTTTATCAAAGAACTTAGAGAAGGTCCAGATCCGTTTCTTTTCATCTCTCTCTCTCTCTGTTTCGCAGCAGAATTCACAAAGCTTCCTCCTCCACTTTATTTTTTCGTTTTCGATTCGTCAAATTTTCCCAAGCTCTAGAAAACCGAAGGACGCTTTGGTATGGTTACCTGAAAAGTCAGGAAGGTTTACCACTAAATCTGGTTATAAAACTCAAAAGCAGAGAGCTCATCCTCCACAAAATCACGATTTCAACTGGTATGGGAATATTTGGTCTCTCAACTCCTCCCCGAAACTCAAACATTTCTTGTGGCGAGCAACAATCGGAGCGCTATCTTCCGGTGAGAACCTGTCGTACCGAGGTTTAGCGACTGATACTAGATGTCGGCGATGCGGGGAGGTAGAGAGCACAATGCACATCCTGTTTTATTATTGCCCTTTTGCCATGTCAGTTTGGAACAGAGCTCCTCTGGTTTTTACTCAAGCTCAACCTCAAATGGAGTGTGTACAACAACTATTGATTCAGCTTCGACAATCAACAGCTTTACCTCCGATTGGACTTGTTTCCACGCAGCTACACCCATGGATACTATGGCATCTATGGACAGCACGGAATTTGTTGATCTTTGAAGCTCGCGAGTTCTCTTATGTATGTTTGAGGAGTTAGTCTGAATCTAACTGCAGTTTCAAGCGTCTTTTTAATGGTTACATTGTCTCTCTAAGATCAGTTCAATTTTTTTTATCCCTTATAGTAACTTGATGAATGATGACGATGATGTTCTGCTTTGAATCTTGAATCACATAGAATCCATGGTGGAACCCGACGGTGAATGAGCAAACGATTATGCGTCTGAAGATTTATTGTTAAGGTAATAATACTACACGTATATAAAGGGTTCGGTTAATACAATATGGCATAATATTATAATATGGGCAGTGATATGTAAGAATGTTTTGAGTAATATAAGAATTTTCTTTTTGTAGGATTCGTGTAATAGCAAAAAATCCTTCAACCATGAGGTTAGTTACATAAAAAGGAACTGTGAGTCATTGCCATTCTATAATTTTGAGTTATTTATAGTTAACTAGAGATACATAATGTTGGATATTCACCTTAACTGTTTACTATTTGCCATGTACAGATATTTAAGCTATCATATTTCTGAAAATCCCAAAATTTTTACAAAGTCCCCTCTACATTTGAGATGGAATGTTCTCTTCTATGACCCACTTGGTTTGTGGAAAGACTCGCATAGTTGGTGCAGCTACTGTATCGTGTTCCCTACGTTTTTATCAGTGAAGGACCATGAGGTATTAACAAATATATCGGTGCTTCTGATTATTTTGTAAGAGTAACAACTTTATTTGATTATCATGCTCTTCAAATCTTCAATAGTGCTTGCTTTATGCCGTACGAGAACAAAGAGCGTGTATGGGTGACGATGTTTGGCACCGATCACAAGTTTCAGACAAAGATGTGGTCTCAATTTGATCCTTCATCTGGTAAAAAATATTTCTTCATTGTCATCCCCGTTTGGAACTGTCATATTCAGTGTTTCTGATTTGGGTGCTAATAATTTATAGCTCAGAAACAGTGGCAATTAGCTCAAGTTAAGCCTGTAGTTTGGCTTTTGGTTATGGTACCGAGTTTTATTGATCTAGGCAGATATGTTTGTTAAAGCTTTCATCGCTTTTCATCAAGCTCACAACGAATTGAATAGAATCCAGTCGATGGAAGGACGATAATCTGATATCGGAAAATCTAGACTGTCATAAGTGCTATATAAACGTGAAGTGGATATTCTGTGAAATTGTCGCTCTTGAAGTGAAGGTTTACTATGCAGCCGACCAGTGAGCATGAAGTGTTGGATCTAATTCTCCAAAGATGCCCTAATCAAGCCATTGAACTACTCATACTCAAAGAAGTTCTTGAATCTCACATTATCTTCCTCATCAAGATAAAAGCAAGTTTATATTATATTTTTCAAAGAGGTAAAAAACGTTTTTTAGTTTTTTAGTAGGGATCTTTTGAGATTGATTAGTGAATATCTTTTCGTAAAACGATATGGATTTTAAGATTATTTAGTGAATAATGTATTTCCTCCGTGCTTGCAATAAGCAGAGCAATGCATAATGCATAGGTTATGAAGATGTACTTGGTGTTGCAACAAGAAATTGGAGCGGTAAATCTTAATTTCGCTATAGATTGGAACTTGGTTTGGTCGATAAAAAAGTTAAGTATCTTCTTACGTTTCTCGCTATATACATTACGTCTATGTTATTATATGTTTGGTTTTCTATTTTCTAAAAAGTCTTACTCTTATATATATATATGCTATTTAGCGATAATTAATAAGAAATTTACAAAATACTGTAAGTCGGTAAGAAAATAAAAAAATGTTACGATTATATTCTTAAAATATTTTCTTTGCTTTTGTAGGGATCTACAAAATATGTATTGTGGGAGAGACTTCAATTGATTATGTTGATGCAGTTAAGAGTTGCAACGTTTCTATTGTGGGAGTGACTTCAATTGCTTATGTTGATGCAATTAAGAGTTGCAACGTTTCTCTTCCTCTACGGAATTCAAATTCAAATTCAAAAGCAATGTTGCATGGTAG